TTTGTCAAAAGGGTGTAGAGAGGAGTTTGCGCTTGACTACTTACTCTACATAAAGTGCAAACTACTTTTCTTTGAACGATCAAAACTACGTGATAACTAATTAGACATGATAATTGGAAATTACTATCTAAAAGGACTTGTTCATATCTAATTCTAACAACTATGATACATGTTGTTTTTATACAAATTCAAGATATAATTTTTAGGCTATACGAATTCATGTACGCTATATTACTTAAATTCTATTGGTTCAATATTCGTTCGTTTGCTCGTTCGCTTAGTTATTCATTCATTTGCTTGTTTGCTTGTTCGCTCACTTCACGTAATATAATCTTTATCCAATAATGTATAAAATATTTATAATCCAATAATAAAATATTATGACGAAAGGTCATTATACAACAATATCATGACACTATCAAAAACTTGTTCTAATTTAATTTTAATAATTATGATACATGTTATTTTTATACATATCCAAACTATATTTTATCAGCTATACAAATTCATGTTCGCTAATTTATTTAAATTCTATTAATTCAATATTTGCTTATTTATTTGCTTATTTATTTACTTATTTGTTTGTTCACTTACTTATTTGTTTATTTATTTTATATGATTAGATTTTTTCAATAAAATATAAAATATTTATAATTTAATAATATTAAATATAAATAATCTAATAAAATATTCAACAAAAGTTCATTATACAATAATATAATTATAATTGATCACATTTTAATTAACTTATTCAGATTAAAAATAAAATCATAATTGATTGTAACTTGATCACAATTCTCTAATTAACTATTATAATTAATTGCAATTAAATTAAATTGTAATTCTCTGATTGAATATTACAAGCCATAATTAATTAAGTCATCATCTTTAATCCAGATTTTCATAGAGCAATTACTATCTAATTTTGATCTCAAAATGAATTAGCTTAAAGAAAAAAAGATTAAAGCAAAATAATAATTATAAAAATTCTATCTGAAATAGATGAAACTTATCATATTGATATAAATAACTAAATATGTTTTTGTTCAGCATATCTCTACAGTTATTATCTTATCTGCAAGCATCTTGTTGCAAAGAAGAATAATATCTATTTCTGACCTACCTTTTTAAGAATAACACATTGATTATTCTTACTTGTCTTTGAAGAGAATAAAATATTAGCAATTAATTCAGCAAGTAATTCTTGATCTAGACATAGAACAAATACTAACTTACAAGATGTATCAATAATTGATCTTGTTAAGAAGGGATCCTTAAATATTGTTAACTTTTAAGTAACTAAAAGATATAATATAATTGAAATTATAGAAAGACTATGAAAACTATATTAATCTTATATGAATAAGAAATAGATAATAACAAATTTGTAGATGCTTTTGACAGCTTAACGAAGGCAATTAAGGAGTGTTAGAAGGCATTACAAGTCCAAAATCAACAAGAAACTGAAAGATCGAAAGAAAAAAACTTATATTTTAATTACGTTAATTTACTTGTGAAAAAAGAAATATGGTGTAGGAACTCTTAAATCGACAATATGTTTCAATTTCAAAATGCTACTACTCAACATAGAGGCAAAATTTTCAAAATCTGACCGGTAACTTTGTTCTTTATAACAAGTTCTACAAAGTTACCGGTCAGATTTTGAAAATTTTGCCTCTATGTTGAGTAGTAGCATTTTAAAATTGAAACATATTGTCGATTTAAGAGTTCCTACACCATATAATAAATAATAAAGCTTTGCTATGTTAAACTCAAGTTATTTAAGTATTGTAGTAAAAGCTAATTGTTTTCTGTAAAATTTGAAAGATCTGCAAATTGTATCATTGCACCGGAATAACGTGACTCGACACTTTTTAGCCGAGGCCAGAATGCAGGTCGGAAATCACGTGAAAGGCACTTTTTTTGCCATGACTTACATCATTATTAACTCAAAATATTGCCATTATCTTTTGCGTAGAAATTATCGCAACAAAATGTCTATTGTACAGCAAAAGAGCGAAAATTATATCATATTGTATGCCTCACAAACTGGTAACGCGGAATGGATTGCGAAAAACATTCAACAAGAGGCAAATGAGCGTGGGTACTCAGGAGAATGCCGTGTCATGGATGAATATGATAAGGTTATTATTTAATGCACACATGTATTTAAATTTAATTACAAAAATTCACTAGTAAATTAAGAGATGTTTTTATATAATTAAAAAAAGGTTGATCTGGGGAAGATCGAGGTATTAATTGCAGTTACTTCGAACACGGGTGACGGTGATCCACCAGATAATGCTATAAAGTTCTTTAGGTTCTTGCGAAAGATTAAGTCAAAAACGTTTTTCGAGAATACTAAGTTCACAATTTTGGGTAAATAATTATCTTTATATAAAGTTAGTTGATATGTATGCTACCATTATCGTTCAAAAAATATATTTTTTTGTTTTTTAGGATTGGGTGATACAAATTACACGAATTTTAATAATACGGCTAAACGATTAGAGAAAAAGTTTTTGGAATTGGGAGGCTCTGTATTCTACGAGAAAGGACTGGCAGATGATGCAACTGGGTATTTTCTGAAGTATTTGCTTATTTATTTTCTGAATATATGAGTCCACGCTGATAAATCTTGACTAATACAGACTCGAGAGTGTTGTTGATCCATGGGTTGCAAACTTATGGCCGGCTTTAGAAAAAGTGTGTATAAAAAAAAACAAAAAATCCAATGGACAAATTGAAATTATCGCGTCTTCAGTAGCGAATATTTCAGTAATGGACAATAAAAACAATTTACAATCAAACAAAGTAGGATTAGAAAATTCATTGACAATCGTTAAAAAGGATGAATCAATAAAAACCACAGCAACAACATCCGAGAAAAGTTCATTGACAATCGTTAAAAAGAATGAATCAATAAAAACCACAGCAACAACATCTGAGAACACAATTAATGGTGATACAGTGTCAAAATCGACATTAAATCTTCGTAAAAGTGACGACGCAACTCTTGTTCCAATTCGCGGTGAGAGAAAAGGCTCGAAACTAATAATAGATCTTTCTGATCTCGAATCTGTCACACAATTGACTTCTCTACCACGAATTCCCACTACGTTATGTAAAATAACGAAACTTGATTCCGAAATTAAAAAGACATTATCAAATGACAGAGACAGTTTTCCATCAATTCCATCTTTTGTGCATACACCAACGCGTGTATTTGGAGCAAAAATTTCAGCAGTTCGTTGTTTAACTCACCCAAACGCGCTAAAAAGAACTTTACATTTGGAATTGGACATTAAAGATCATCGAGACAATATTGAATTTGTGCCTGGTGATGTTTTTGGTATCTTGGCACCGAATGATGAGGAATTTGTTTGGACATTATTGAAAATACTTGGAATTGATCATGATGAAGCTCAAAGGACTATTAATATTGAGGCTGTGGAGGGGGCTGGTATTGCATATGCTATTTATTAGGAAGCATTCTTAATTTCATATCGTTTATTTCAATTACTCATTTATTATTCTTTTGTTTTCCTCGGATTCGATGAAAAGAACTTCCAACTCACCTCAAAGATGCAAAATTAACATCAGTTTATGAATTATTTCGTTATGGACTTGATTTGACTTCTATACCTCGAAAAGCTTTATTACGGCTTTTGGCTGAATACGCAACTAATCCCGAAGAAAAAAAGACGTTGTTATTTTTGTGCAGCAAACAAGGCATGCTTATCAATAAATTCTTAAGAGGACTGAAAAATGATCGAATCTCTAACTGATTGAATATTTACGTTATTAGGAATCAACCAATTCAATCGTCTACGTGAGCAGCTGCCTACACTCCTGGAATTATTTCTGACTTTTCCTTCATCGAAACTACCGTTCGAACGGTTGTTAGATGTTTTACCACCTCATCAACCTCGATATTATTCGATTGCTAATTCACCTTTAGTAGATGCTAATAATCTACACATAGCATTCAATGTTGTTTATTATAATACACCCGAACCCTTTGCTGTTCCTAAATGGGGAATATGTACTCCATGGTTAGATGAATTAAGCGGACGAATAACCACCACAAACATTAGAACTCCTCTTCTTTCACCCATTGAAATACCAATATTTATGAAGCCAAACGAACATGGCTTTGCTGTTCCAAACGACAATAAAGTTCCCTTGATAATGATTGGACCCGGAACTGGCATAGCACCATTCATCGGATTCCTTCAACATCGCGAAAAACTACGTGATATCCGTCGAAAAATATCCACGATCGGTTTACATGCGCGTCGTGAAGTCGATAAACAATTTGGTGATCTTTGGCTATTTTACGGGTGTCGTGACACGGAAAAAGATTTCTTGTATAAAGATGAATTAGAAGGGTTCGTGAAGCGTGGTGTTCTAAAGCAACTTGAAGTTGCTGTTAGTCGTGCTCCAGGTGCTGGTGAACTCGGAAAGCCTAAATATGTGCAAGATTTGATTAGGATTCGTGGAAAAGAAATTTATGAGTTAGTTAGTAAAAAAGGCGCGTTAATTTTTGTATGTGGGTAAGTATAAATATAATTTTATTATTTCTGTTTTTTATATTTAACATATCTAATATACAATTCATTTCAAAGAGATGCAAAAGGTATGGCTAAAGGGGTTAACGACGCCTTAATTGATATCCTGATCGAACAAGCTAATATGGATCGAGTAGAAGCTTCAAAACTACTTTTAAATTGGGTCCAAGAAAAACGCTATATTCGAGATTTGGTAATTTTTTTTAGTTTAAGCCATTTAAATATGTTCTTTAAGACAATTTCTAACCAGTTTATTTTTTCTTTAGTGGGCATGAAAATCGTAAACCAAAACTATACCTTTTTCATTTATTAATAAATAAATTTATTGAGAAGACAAATTTTTATTGAGACAATGAACTATTCCTATTCTATCACTTAGTTTTTTTTTAATTTATATACATTTCTTATTTTAATTCACTAATAACTAATGATTTATTAGCCAGCTAATATACAAGTTTATAGCTTATAAAGTAAATAAAATATTGTTTAATTTTTTTTTGAATTTTTGAACGCGTCTTCATTTTTATATAGAATAAAAAAATAATTAAATACAATTAACTTATTAAAACATATAGCAAACAAAATTGAATAATACCATTTACGTATTTTAAATACTACAATAAATAGGCAGTGATCCATAATAAAGTCCGGTAAAAAAAAAACTATCGAAGTAAATCAGCTACACTCCGTTTTACAATTGGCGGAAAATCTTTAGCCTCCATTGAAGCAGCGACAGTTCTCGCTTTTTCCACCTGACCACTCTTTACATATGCCTTCACCATTTCTTCATAAGTACTCGGTTCACGTAATACTTGTCCTTTTTCTTTGGAAGACGCGTCAACCATATTCTCGAAGACTTGTTCCGCGTTTTCCCATTGGCCTAATTGTCCATATCCACGAATGAACAAATTTTCAATGTACGATGTCGTTTTCACGTTATCTTTCTCGATCATTCGTGTATAATAGTCTTCGGCTTCTTGGATTCGTTGGGCGTCAATTAAACTCTCAAATAATGCCTGATACGCGATCTCATTCGGCATAACTTGTTTACTCATTGAATCGAATATTTCAATTGCACGTTCTACGTCACCCTGTTTGCACCCATACGCATATATTAACGATGCGAAGTGAGTTGCATTTGGTTGTGAACCACGTAGTCGCATCTTATCAAATACACCGTGGGCAGCCTCCATGTCGTATGGCTCGACTAAGACATAGGCGTCAATAAGTAATTTCCAAGTATGATCACTAGGTTTCAAATTATGTTGTAAAATTGAATTGAAATAATCCAGAGCTTTTTCACGGTTTAGCATATCCCATATATAGAATTGCATCATCGCGTTGTATGGACCAATCCGAGGCTGGAAATATAGAGAGCCTTCCCATTCTTTCATTAACGCCACTGCTTTTTCCTCGGAACTTACACGTATACAAGCTGTTATCAGAGCACCATACGTGATGGCATTTGGTTGAATATTTCGTTGTTTCATTTCTTGGTAAATGTCCCATACAAGTTCGTATTTACGAGCTTTCCCAAGTTTACTTATTAACACATTGTAAAAGTACACGTTGCATTTTACCCCATATCTTTTTATTTCATCATACATTTGTATGGCCACTTGTGCTTCATCAAAGTAAACATCAGTTTCAGCGACTAAGAGACTTGCATACGCATCCGAGGAAGGAGCTTTGCCTTTCTCCAAAATTTTATAATAGATTTCCAAAGCTTTATCGATTTTACCGACCGAAGCATAAGCAATTAACATACTATTATGTACCCAAAGTTCTGCTTTTTCTCCGAGCGTTTTCTCCCATTTTTTACTTATATCTAAAGCGATCTCGTATACTTCTTTGGCCTGATTTATGTATTTTCCTTTACCCAAATTCTGAACGATTATTGACATTGGTTCGGGTGTGATTAAAATATTATCCGCCACTAATTGTTTAGCTTGAGCAACAACAGCGTCAGGATCGATTTTTTTGGTGTGATTACAATTGGATAATAAATCGAGAGACTTGTGGGTTTCGAGTTCAGTTGGTTTACGATCTTGGCCCGCCGCATTTCTACGCCATTTTTCAGCGAGTGCTGAATCCACCACATTAAATCTAGTATATACATTTTGGACGAGATCTTTGGAAGGTTTTTGGCCATAATATTTCCCATGATTATGAATTCCATAAATTCTTCTCTGAAATTCTTCTATATTTGAATAGGTTACGATATCGCGATTGTATAAAGCCAGATATAGACTAAAGAGTAAAGGAAGTGTTCCTGGTGAAAGTTCAAGGTTTTCGATTCCCTTTTCGGCCACCATGTTCTCGTAAGTTTCAATCAATCTTGTATCAACTTCTGGACGAAAGTCTGCATGATAAGTCCATATTTGTAACAGCTTTTCCCAATCTCTGAATTCAAGCCCAGGGTGATCGAATAGGGAGAGAATGGTTGGCTTCAATCTTATTATTGCCGGAAGACGAAGCTTCCTCTCTTCTTTTGTAATTCTAAAGAATCTTTCCAGAATGGCAATAGCGTCTCCGCATTTACTCAAATCACAATAATATTTGACCAGGTGTTGAGTCAAAATAGAATCGGGTATTTGTTGATTTTCGTACATTGTATTTAACAAGGTCGGAATATTCTCGGGATCATGTTTGATTGCAGCCTTTAGATAAGCAGAAGATTCGGTATAACGTGGATAAATACCTCGCATCAGCATTTTATTATAGATACGGGTTGCTTCTGGATAATTCCCCGAATTCGCATACTCTATCAGGAACATCTCATAAATATGACGATTGGGTTTAGGTCTTACAATTTCAGATTCCATTTTATGAAGCCATTCTTCGGCAATTGCCAAATTACCCTTTTTTAATATGTTACGAATAAACATTCCATAAGTTCTCATATCTGACACTAGACCTGCTTCAGGTATCGTTTTTTCAATCACTTCTATCGCACCTTGAATATCGTCACATTGAACGCAAGCATTAATAAGACTATGATAAACATCATTTTTATCCTGTATTGGTAATTCAGAATACATAGCTTCATACTGTTTTAAGCATTGTCGTGAACTTTGTAAGTCACCAATCCGTCCGTATGCTATAATTACACTGCTAAATGTCCATGATGTTAATGGCATTCCCTCTCTAATCATGTATTCATACACAATCAACGCGTCTTCTGCCTTACCAAAGGGACCAACGGCACGTATTAATGTAGTACATAGATTCGCATCATATTTAATATCTGGTTTCAGTATTGATATTTTGAAAATATCAATTGCGGCCTCGAAATTCTTTTCCTCATTTAATTCTTGAATATTTTCCAAAGTCTCCAATTCTTGCCCATCTTCTCGTTTCAATTTCGCCTCGAGAAAATCATAAGTTTTTTGTACTTCTAAACCTCGTTTCACCAACATATTCATCATTATCGAATAAGTCTGTGTGTCTGGCTCGACGTTATTCTCGAGCATATGATTGTAAATTTCCCAAGCTCTGTTTATCGGTGTGCCTTCAGTTCGCAGATTTTGATTTGCATTTAATATTAAATTGTATGTTTGTAGCGAAATTGGTTCGCCAGTCTTTATTAATTGTTTGTAAGCGTAAAGTATAGACTGTAAATTATTCTGTTCTACTCCTTTTCTTATACGTTGAAGCCAATCAATGCCATACTCTAAATGCATCATGTCAACCGGAGGAACCTCGCTTAGAACAGAACTATTATCATATGCTAAGGTTGAATTAAAGCGTTTGTTGGCGAGGTCTTGGTATATATTTGACTTTTTCCACTGATTTATCCGTAGACCTTGTTTTTGTTGTTTTTGCTGTTGTATCGAGGTGTTTGAGGTGCTCACGCCGAGCTGTTGCGCGTATCGTGAAGAGTGTAGTTTGCCGGCTACGGTCGTGCCTCCTCGGTTTGCCGTTGAAAGTCCACCATTAGCAGAATTTAATACCGAAGTTTTAGCTCCTATGCTATTAGTTAATAATTGTCGCGAATTGTATCGTGCTATCGCTGCTAACGCGGCGTTTTGTTTAATGTGTTGCATTGTATTTATTTATTGTGTGGTTATGCGTGTGTGCAAAAAATAATTTAGTGTTGAGATTCTAGATATTGTTAAAGAAAAATCGTGGTTTTTATTTTTGATGCTGGCTTGATATCTATATTCAAAAAATTGTGTATAATCGTAATCTACTGATCATGCGTTGTTTATCAGAAACCAATACATTTGTCCATTTATGACGTTATTTACATTTTGAATGATCGTGTGAAAAAATCAGGCTACTGTAAAATGCTCCAATCAAGATTGTTCCGAAACGCGAACATCAAATTTTGAAAAGATGGTGATGGTCAAATACATTTTTCTTGCCCTTCATGCAACCTTATTGGCGTCAATTGCAGCTCTAGTTAACAAAAGAGTTTCCGAACCATACATGGTAGTTGTCGGAATGTCAGCAATTAATTTGATTTTACCTTTTAGCAAGAAAAGGTAATTGGTAGTAGTTGAATTACTGAGTAACTTTGGAAAATGTATTTTGGTCGAGAAAGGATGAAATTTTTCATATACCACAGGCCCAACGTTACTGTGAGGGAGATTATCGGAGCTGGGACCCGAAATTAACTACACCTCCAGGCTTGTATGTAATAACATGTAACACAAAAATTGTCTTGTAATTTTTATAATATTAATAGAATATTATTTATTAAATGCGAATTTACAGATATGTAATAAGCAACATTATTATCATCTTGCCATTTCTTAATTGCTCTACTTCGATTCTGCGTGCAATCAACCTTGGATTTGCGCTTGGTCTTTATCTAGTGATATGGCGAATTCTTGCTCGATTGCATCCGTATCAAAACGATTATGTTCGTAGTTTCAACGCGTTCACATTGAGTTTGTTTCCGGTTGGGTGGTTTTATAATTTCTTGTATTATACCGATTCCGGATCTACTTTTTTTGTGTTATTGGCTTATTTGATGGCTATTGAGAAAAAGATAAAGATTAGCGCTTTGGTATTTACCCATTCAAAAGTTACATATTTTATTGGTATTTAAAAACAATGCAAATTAAATATTTTTTTTTTACTTTTACCAGATGGCTACAGCCAGTATATTTTTTAGACAAACAAATGTAATTTGGTTACTTTTCATCTTGGGAGTATCGATTGTAAATGCGTTGTCTGATACAAAAAAAAATCAAAAATCTGATGAGAATAAACAATTATTGATAGTCAAGGCTATAAATATAGATTCGTTGGGTAAGGTGAAAAATTCAGCATGCATTGCAAGATTATATAAACGCGGTAAATCAAAATTTATAGCAACTTTATATCATCTTTTCATGCAGAACAATCCTTTCAACAAATCGCAAATTTCATTCAACTGGCACTCCAAAATATAATATTTCTTTTGAAATCTTTTTTCCCATTTCTGCTCAGTCTGATTGGATTTACGATATTTCTTAAATGGAACGATGGAGTTGTCTTGGGTATTTATCGCCAATTTTTTCTTTTGTTAAAGAATCTGAATCATCTCAAACCCGTATTACGTGAAATCATTAGGAGATAAATCTAATCACATAGCGAGAATGCATTTCCCACAAATATTTTATTTTGTTTGCTTTACTTTTGGATTTGGATCACCGCTTGTTTTCCGATTCAGTAATTTCAATTTGATGCCTGATTTTGTGAATATTCGATCTCCTGGGTTTGTACTTGGAAAAAATCTTTCTACCATTATTTATATATGATATAATATTAATCTTAATATTATAATGAATTTAAAGGAAAACTGTCGCATTGTGGCTAACAATGGGAGCAATGGCATATTTGATTAACAGATACACGTAAGCAGTAAAAGTATTTGTCAAAAGAAAAATACTAATTAATTTATTTTTTGATAGGTATGAACATCCCTTCCTACTTAGTGATAATCGCCATTATACTTTTTACGTTTGGAAGAACATTTATCGCCGTCACGTAAGCGTGAAATACCTATTGATCCCCGTTTACGTGATTCTTATAAAGATCCTATGGGTTGCATTAGGTAAATATATTTCCAATTATTTGATATCAGCTACATAAAAAAGCAACGTTAACTTTATGCTCTTTTAAAAAAAAGCAAATAATCAGTCCTTTCTGTGGATCCTGATTTACACAGCTGGCACCTGCCTCTCATTAATTCCATCGCCATTACTAGAATTCCGGTACTTTATCATCCCCTTTTTCATTTACAGATTACACATTCGACAGCCAACTACATCAACTACTATCACGCCAGAACTGCAACACCTAGTACTAGAATTTCTTCTGTACGCATGTGTAAATATCGTGACTGGCATTTTGTTTTTATGGCGTCCGTTTGTTTGGGAGCAGGAAGAAGGCAAATTGCAACGTTTTATGTGGTGATTTAATAATGATTAGTAATACTGTATTTTGGTTTGTATCACTCAATAATAAGATCACACGGATTCTTATTTTTCTGCATGCAATAAAAATCAAGTGATTTAATATTGGATGAATTAATCCTCAGCGCATTTTGATCGGATGATTCTTGGGTAACCTATCAAAGGAATTGTATCTTCTCGCCATAAATCATCCGATCATTAACTTGCACAAAATTTAATCCTGATGGCCCTATTATATCATTATGAATCATTGAAAAAGCTTTTAATAAAAAACTACATTCCATTGTACACTAACAAAAAAGATAGATAAAAGTTTAATAATATATATATATATATAACTCTTTTTACTTATGTCTCTTGCCTTTATAATTACAAAATATATAATTAATGTTGTTTCAAAGTTCGTTTCTTGTACGACTACCCTTGTTTTTTTTGTTTGTGGAGGAGGACGGAGTATCCTTGACTTTTCAGGTGTTGTGTGTTAATGATAAAAGATATGTGGTTTATTGGTGATTGTGGTGGTTAGTCGTAAGGTGCGTGGTTTTATTTGTGATAAGAAAATAATACATAATAAAGTAGAGAGGAGGAGGAAAGATAGACAGGTAGGCAGAGAGACTATTGATAATTCATTTCTTTTTTTGATAGTTATTTACTTGCGAGTCCTATTAATTAGAATAAAGTCAGCGAATAAAACCACCGAGGAGATAAAAAAAAAGAACAGCAAAAAAAATAAGTATTCGAGGTGAAAGTATAATAATAATAATAATAATTGATTTGTTGGACAATTGATCATCGTTTTTAATTCGTTCATTAATATGATGATTGAAATGTACAGCAAAGAGATAGATATGAAAGATAATGGTGATGGATCTTTTTAAAGTGATGATTTGGGAGATATATTTTTGTTAACATTAAGAGTAGTAGATGAGGAAGTCCTACCAATAACACCACAAAGAATACGAGCACCAGCATTGCCGGTCTTGAGACTTTCTGCATCATTTGGTTTTAGACCAAGATCATCTGGGAGAGCGTGTACGACAATTGAGCGTCTATTAATTATGTCGAATAAATAATTGATTAATAAAAATCAAATTCGGACAGGATTCATATAATCAATTCTCACTAAAACTCTACTCACCCAACGATCGAATTTTGTCCCGTCACTTTAATCTGAGTATCTTGAAGTGTAGTCTTTACTTTTTGGTCGTCGCCAACATTAATGTTTCCCAGATCCCCAACATGACGTTCTGTCGCGGTTGGTGCACCGTGATTCTTCTTGAATGGGTTAAAGTGTGCACCAGCTGAGACACAACCGTCAGTTTGATCGCCAAATTCGCTATTTAATTAGTAAATAGTAAATAAATAACAAAGCAAATGACAAAATTATTTATTAACAAAAATATGTTGACATTTAAAAAAATGCTCACTGAATATGGAAACCATGTGCTCCAGGTGCCAACCCGACAATGTCAACGTCAATTTTAGTTTTGTCGCCATTCTCGGTGAACACTACAGTACCATAAGGCTCAACAGTGGTGGGATTGACTCCCGATTTAAGGTTTTGACGAAGTATAGCAATAGCTTGGGCCATTTTGTTATGCTTTATTTCCTAGTAGTATGTCTAGTATAGAGTAATTAGCGTTAGTGAAGAGATTAAGGTAACACGTACCTGAAAATGAGATATATATCAAAAAATTAGATATCGATATCATATCAATCATCAATGATAAATGGCTGGCAAAAACCGCGCACTTTCTTTTTGTCTGTAGAAGATCATTTATATCTGTCATTAGAACGTCATTGATTTCACGTGTTTAAAAGGCTGAATAAGGATTGTACATGTGAGAACGTGGCTTAATAAGTAAATGTTTGTCAATAACATTAAAGAATTCAAATAAAGAATCTATTGCAAAACTTTAGTTTGACGTTCTTCATATTTATTAATTATGGTATAGAGAAACATTATTTGGTTAATGCCTCTAAATATTATTTCTATTACTGTATTACTATTAATAATAATATTATTGATATTATTGCACTCTTGGATTAACGATGGTTTTTGGTTATTAATGATACAGAAATAATAGTAACAGCAAAAAAGCAGATTGATGATCATTATTTAATAATATTCAAAAGTCGTGATATTTCTTACTTTCATAGAAAGAACGTGAAAAGATTGAACCGAAGAAAAGCAACAATGTACTAATAAGTTTTTTTAATCAAACCGTCGTCGCATTGACTTTATTATTAATATTATATATTTCAAAAGAAAGTATTATGAACTACGAAAAATCCATGTCGATATCGTCGTCAAATGTGATGATAATTCGATCACCAGAACCAAATACAATTGCATGGACATTCGTGGGCGGTTTAATTTGGTTGATATGTGAAGGGCAGGAGGAAAATCGCGATTTTTTACATCATCATTTACATCAACAAACTTTATCAATTTTCGGATTTTTACTTTGGTTCTCGTTATCTTTAATTCCTCTTCTTTATTCTTATATTTATCATTCTTACCAGTTTTATTATTATCAATCTCTTTCAACAAGAAAGTCAACATCTAACGCCACCACAATCAATCATCAAATTAAACCGCTTCCATCATCATCACGTCTAATTATTTTTATTATTCTTTTATCAATGATCATAGTAATCACAGTAATACCCGCCACTCTTTTAAGTCTAACAATCGAAAAACATTCATCAGAAATAGACAGCGAATATAAAAACAATATTATTATTGGCGACGTCGAGGATTATACCAAAGACCGAAAACTATACGACAGACTAGTGACAATAAATTTATCAATACTCTACTACATCGCTATTTACATTTTCCTACTTGTGAAACTATGGAATCTACGTAACAAGATCTCAGACTACAAGATCTGGTTGTTTCAAGGATTTGTTGGATTACTGATGACGATGGCACATTTATCCGCTTACATGATCGTCAAAAATTATGATGATAGTCAACAGCCTATTATTACGTCGACTTTGGCATTCACAGTGATTCTAGCAAAAGAGCGGAAGTTGATTTATGTTTGTTTTTTGATGATTCCTATTTGGGTCATATCGGTTATAGCGTTAATGAATTATTCGGGTCGTGTTGGTGGTTGGATGTGTAGCAGTAAAAGCTATCGTTGCACTGCTGGCAGTCAACAAGATCCTTTGTCATCAAGTGAAGGAGGAGAAATATGCGATTATGTAGAGGTTTCTACAAAAATAATGACATCATCTTCGTCTTCGTTACTACCAGAAGCAGCAAAACTACAAGAACAGAATTACAATGAAATTATTCGAGTACCTCATTATGGTTCAATGAGATCAACTATCATCACTGACAGTAATTCATCGTCGTCTCAACAATTATCTCCTCCTATTATAAATAAAGTTAACATTAATAATAATGGTAATAGTAATTATAAAACACAAACATTACCTGGTGCAACAACATCAAAACCCTCTTCTTCAAAACTCTCATCATCTTTACCTTTCATCACAACGATGACTACAACAAACAATCCAAACTTACTCGCCAGTAACGGTATTAATACTAATAGTTCGAATGATGATACTAGTACTCATAATTCTAATACTACTATTATTAATAATAATAATAATAATAATAATAATAATAATAATAATAATAATAATAATAATAATAATAATAATAATA